TGATTATTATAGACTGACTGAAGTGCTTAGTTATGTCTCAGCATAGTTGCAAACAATTAGCGATTTAAGACGTGTATACATGGATGAAGGAAACAAACTGTCACTTCTTTTGTCTTGGTGCACTTTAGTTACCGCAGGCAGCTAAGGAAAAACATGTTTTACCCAGAGTATGTCGACATGGAGACGGAGGGTGTGGGAATGACGATGGAAGAGGAAATGAGAAAATTTCTGGAAGATGAGCTCCGGCCTCACATTAGCGATGCTATCAATTCCCTGTGTAAGAAATATTCAGTCATTTGCTGACATTCGTCACTGTGTCTGAAACTGCTTCACGAGCCTCTAACCCGAAAACATCTGGCAGCGTAACGATTTGTGCTGTTTCAGCTCTGCTCAAACTTCTGTTTCGTTTTCTCCATCAGGCTACGTTTCTGATCCTGAGGAGGAGCAGGACGAGAATGAGGAAGAGGCTCCGGAGGAGGACGAGGAGGAGGACGATGAAGATGAAGACGACCTAGATGACAGCAGCGAAGAGGAAATGAGAAGCGAGGGGGAGGAGGAGGAAGACGATGAGGAGGAAGATGGGGTGGGACCGCATGATGATGATTACAGCCCGGAGGAAGAGGAGGAGGAGGAGGATGTTGAAGAGGAGGAGGAAGAAGAAGAAGAGGATGGGGATGAGGAGGAGGATGACGAAGAAAGAGGAGTTTAATAGCATTATTTTCCACCTAATGAAGCACTTTGAAGTCGATTCTCGACTGTGGATGAGTGCACAGTCACATGACAAATCGCTAGTCTTCGTGTTCGCAGAATGTGAAGATTAAGACTCAAGAAGCCCCACAATTTGCCTCTAACCCTCACACAGCATCCAGACACATGCCGGGCAGTGAAAGCCTCCAGTTCAGCTGGACTTGAAATAAATCAAGGGCTGAGAATGTGTTGAAGTGACTTTCACCCTAAACATGTGTCGCACACTGGCAAACCTAATTCAGGTGCTTTCCTTTAGAATCATTCGCTGTACATGAATGTGAATGTATAACGGCTCAGTTTGGGAAACCTTTGCACGTCTGTGACGCCAGATTTTCGAGCACTTTGCCAAAAAGATTTTTTAGAAAGTGTGAGAATTTACTCTTTCACCTTGTTAGCTAGATTCGCTCTAGCTTGATTGAAGAACTTTCTGCAAAACGTTTGATACAACAATAGCTCCAAAGAAAGCCCTTTGATCAGAACTTCTGCTGAAGGCTCTGAGAAATCTGCTGGAACAGAACCCGTGTATGAGCTTGTGATTGTTTCAGCATTGTAAGCCAAAGAGAAAAGGTTGTGAGTGAGAGTGTGTGTGCATGCATACTTTAGGAGATGTTTGTCTGCTTGGCATGGTGTTTAAAGAAATGTGCTAACAGAAGTTTACTGCAGAATGACTTTTTGCTTTTTGTGCTTTAAAAGCAGTTAACGCATTTACAAACATGTAAAAACAAAAATAATTGTTCCTATGCACAGTTCATACATTCTTCTTAAAATACCAGTTTTAGGTGATGTGTACTTTCGCACTTTACTACTGTTAAGGCTGTGGTACACCTGAAACCCTTGAATGTCGACAGCTGATTTCCATTTTGATAAAATTATTTGAGGGGCCAAACTTCAGGAATTGTAAAAATTAAAAATAATAATAAAAGCCTGGTGAATGTGCACGGTTGTCACGGTGTTCTTTATGTTGCTGGAGAAATGTGACGTAAGAGTTTATAATTTTGCTTTGTGTACAGGAAACGCATTACTGCAGTTTGATTAGGACATTTAAAGCTAACAGGCTGAAGACGTTAAACACAGGAAAATGGGCAAGAAAGAAAATAAAACAAATATCACATATCCCTAGCATCCTCCTTTTCTGTCACACCAACCTTCTGTATGTACTCCTCCATTACATCCATGAACCTCATCTGTGCTCTTCCTTTTTGCCTGGCAGCACCACCTTAAACATCTTTAGCTGTCCCTCCAAAATCCACATTACTATTCTTGTCCTTTCTGGTCACTCCCAGTGAAAATTTTAGCATCTCCAGCTCAGTCGCCATCTCCAAACCACACATCACAGCAGAGCTAACATCTTGTAAACCTTCCCTTTCAGTCTAGCTGCTATTCTTTCACTCAGATACTCTTCCCTGCCTGCACGGTCTTGTTCACCTCTTTGTTAACTGTCTGTTGCTTTGGTTGGCCATAGGTATTTAAATTCAGTCTCTATTGCTACCTCTCTTCCACCTGCTCTCACTACAGGTCGCAACATCATATGCAAACATAGTCCACAGACACCCCAGCCTGACCTCATCGGTCCATCACTGCAGACTGATAATAATAAAATCTTAGGCCCTTAGTAAGTGGGATAGTTTAGAGACAGCTTTCAGTACAGGAGTAGCCCGTTCAACCACGCAAGTCATGGGGCCCCAATATATTTCACTACACTGTAGAGGAGAAGCAACCACCTGCTCTAGTATTTAAACTGTTGTGTATTATTGGCCTATAACATGTCGAGCTCATTCTGAGCCAGAAAGAAAATTCCTGTCACAAAGTGACTTTTGCATATCCATATTTATCTGGGTGAAAGTGTCACTGACATCAAAAGTCTCTTCTTCATGAGAGGTGGAGCCAAGAGGGAAGCATGGGTTGTATTAGCATGAATCACAGTTCTACAAATACATTTTAACTGCCCCAAGGGAGTGCATTTTAATGCAGAGGACAGAGCAGCAGTGCCAGATCTAGAAAACTTTACATCATGGGGGTGTAAAGGAGGGGCAAGATGTCCAGGCAGGGTGGCAAATACCTCTTCTAGGAAGAATGTGAAAATCCCTTATGGAGTCAACAAAATATCCACTAAAATAAAACATTTATTGTATCATTATATCTTCAAAGAAAATAAACGTTTTGGACAAACAAGCAATTAAGACAGCTGAATAAATATCAAGAAGAATATATAGAATATAAAAAAACAACATCAAGACAGAGTACGAGTTGAAGTGCTTGAAAGTAGTGCAGTGGTCTTAGTTTATACTTTTAAAACAGGCCAATTCTTTATTCTACATATAGCCGCTCTGTAAATCATGTTGTCTACAGGTTATTTACCAATATAAGGAACTATATTAGGCATAAAAAAACAGAACACACAGAAACATCTGTAATCACGTTTTGGCACGACACCCGGAACGGTTGTACTCCCGTGTTTAACCGACGGACAAAAAACAGCACGGACTTCCGGCGTCTGCACCAGTGCGTGTGTTATTGCATGTTATTCATCCTAAGCAGATGTAGTTTTGTGAGGAGTTTCGTCTGAGCATATCTGACATTAAATATCGACAGAGAGAGGCGCAGTGATGAATCCTGTCTTCCGGAAGGTGACGTCCCGCTTATTTGTTTTTTCTCTGCTAAAGGTTTGCTGACTTCACAGAGGTCACAGCTGTGCTGGAGCTAAGTTAGCTTCCTGTCAGTCTGCGGCCAGAATGAGCCCCGTGTTTGTGTCGTTGTTGTCTTTTCTGGCTCCTGTAGAGGTAACTGGAAAAACAGAGGATGTTGTAGATGGAGCTGCCAGGCAAGGAGGAAAAGAGGAAGACCACAATGGGGGTTTATGGTTATACTGAAGGAGGATATCCAAATACTGCTGTGCTTCATAATTTCCGGAATACACTGTTAAATTTAAATGAGTGTGATAAATAGTGGATTTGACAGGTGATGTTGTTCTGTGCGTCTCCAGGTGCAGGCGTCTGTCGCACAGCAGGCGCTCCTGCTGAATAAAGCGCTGACACCTTGCCGGTAAGTCTTTGCCTTTTTCGGTTGTCCCAGTTGTAGACATTATATGTTTAATTTAATTAAGCATTTAGGTTGAATTTATCAGTTTTTAAAACAGATTGAAGCACAGACATTTACAACAAGTCTCAATTGTTAGACCGTAGAATTTTTTTTATGTTTCTAAACACATCGCGGTGAGATGATTTCTCTCCTTCTGATACTATTTATGATTAATCTGTGTTCTGTAATCTTTAAAGGGCTGCACCGTCCATCCGGCATCCTGTTTGGTGTAAGTATTTGTGTCCTGTGTATGCAAATCAATGCAAACTGCTCGTGGTGCTGCAGAATATTTAAAGTGTTGTTTGTTCTCTTCTTAGGCACACACTCTGTAAATGAACGACAGTACAAGGGCATGCCAACCCACGGCATTGGGAGGTGGAAATATCTGTTACCTAAGCAAGCGGTAAGACTCCAAGTGGAGAATATATTGATTGGCTACCTGCTAAATCCAGAATTGAAAATAAAAACATTCTCCTCACACACAGTTTTGAATAATCACCCCCATTTCATCTTAAAGACCTCATACCACCAGTGTCCTCACAGAACTCTTCAGTGTCAGACTGCTGGCTTACTTGTGGTTCCCAGAGTGAATTTTAAATTGTTTGCAGGATAGAGTTAACTAAAGACACTGTCTGGCCCTTTTCTGTTTTGTTGCTTTTAGCCGAGGAAAAAGAAGGACAAGCACCAGATGAAACGGATCATGTCTGCGACAGATACAGCGTACGGCACTCTGAATGTGAACGTGTCAGGATATGACATGACTGTCGTGGAACATTACTCCCAGTACATCCATAACTTCTGCAACCGGCTTGGCATCAAAGTAGCAGACAGGTGAGGACGTTTGGATGGCAGGTCTGAGGTTTCTGATCACTGCAGGTCAGCAGGTAACATTTAACTGAGTCACTTAAGGAGCTGAGATGCAAACCATGTCAAGTTCAATAGGAAAATTTCCATTTTCTGCTATAACTGCCCCCTGTTCATTAAGATTAGATGTTTGAAGTTAAACTGTTTTTATTCTTTTCCATATATGAACAACATTAAATATGATTTGGATTATTTTATTGGTAGACCGGGTATCAAAGGTCCCCGTCTCCTCTCTTATGTGCGGATAATTAACAATTCACTCAGCAGATGGAAACATAGTTAGGATGAACTGCAGGTTTGTATAAGTTGTTTTTCCCTGTAAAGGATGGAATAAGAATTGTTTAGATATGTGTTTCACATGAAGGGACTGACACAGTTAAACTGTCAAAGCAACAGTAAGGATGGTAGATGATCAAGTTTTAAACCTTGATATATCAGACTTTGGTCACTAGATGGCAGCAGAGTTCCTCTGCATCTGCCAAATTCTCATCTGACAAATATATTACAGTGAGTTGTTTTTTTCTGTGTAGTAGACTTAAGCTTTAATGCTCTTTAATGCTTCCCACATACAGCTATGCTTTACCAAGAAAGAGCACAGAGGTCATGCTGATGCAGGAGCAAGGCACCAAGACGTACGTCGATGCTGTCCTCAAGACTCACCACCGAGTCATTCAGGTAAGACCTGGCTTGTTGTGTTTTTTGGGGTTTTGTTTGTGCTCAAACTGCAGGTGCTGCAGGTGTA